AGAGACCCCGCCCGGGCTCGCGCAGTACTGCAGCGCCGGGGCGGGGCGCGCTCCTCCGGGCCGCGCTGCCGCAGCCGTGCAGCCGAGCAGCCCCCGGCCGTGCAGCCCCGCCGCCCCAGGCCCGGCCCGCGCTCGGAGGCAGATGCACACGCGCGCCGCTGCCGCTGCCGCTGCTGCTGCTGCTGCGGGAAGGCCCGGGAGCGCCGCCCAGCGCACGTGCTCGAGCCCCGGGACCCGGCCCACTGCCGCGCAGCCTCTTCCGGAGAAAGGCGAACTCCACGCCCCGTCGGCCCCGCAGATGCCGGGGACACGTGGGAAGGTCAGCCCGCCTCCTGCATCCACACCCCGGCCCCGGCTCGGTGGTCTCACATCTTCCGCCCGCGGCGCGTGCGCGTGTCCCCGTCTGTCTGCTCCACGCAGACAGGTGCTTCCAGCTCAGCCGCGGATGGAGAGAGCCTAAGAACGCAAAGTTCCCCAGCTGTGGGCCGGGCCGGGAGGGACGGCAGCAGCCAGGGTTAGCCTCGTGGAGGGCTGCAGGCTAGACCAGGAAGGGCCTTGAGCCCTCTGCCAGACACTCTGACCGGTTGTAAAAACCGCCCCTCGCCTCTCTATTCCTGTGTATCTTGCAAACATCCCCAGCACAGGTCAGATCGGATTAAGACAGCGTTTTGTAGAAGGGTTGAAACACACCTCAAGTGCGAATTTTCCAAAGTAACTGCAGACGTGATGCCAAACAGCCATGATTTAGAAAGAGCCGCATAACTATCACCCTGCATGGTTGTCACCTGGTTCCATCCTACAAAACTGCAGGAGTTAAAACATTAATTACTGTAGTGCCCTCCAGAGAACCAGCCTCAAAGCATTGGAAATTCAAAGTAAAATTCTTTTAACCCCTTTCCCTCCTGGAAAGGCTTGCATGGAAACTGGCCTAACAGGTGAGGAGACTCTAAACACTTTACACAAAACAGCTTTCACTTACGGGTAAAAATTAGAAAGTGAAACTGACCGGACGCGTTTTATTATCCAAGTTTAGTCGAGGGACGGGAAGCACTAACTCAGGGAAACAGAAAAAGAAAAGTGTAGTTTTCTCTTGCTCCAAAGGTTCATAAATTGCTTGTTGTTAGATTCAAGAAATCGCTTTCTTGGTACTTATTCTCAGTCCCTTTATCTTTAAACCTACGTTTGCTCTAATAATTAAGCTGTTTTATCCCAAGGCAAAACAGAAACTGGCACCTCATCTCGGAATAAACTCTTAACATGCCAAGTGTTCCAAATGACCTCATCTTTACCAAGATGGCTGCTTCAAGCCAACAGCTCAGAAATGTCAACTGCAGTTCAAACCCAAATTTCTCCTAGGTGTTTTGGAGTTTAGTGCTGGGAGACTTCTGAACACAGTCACTGTTGGTGAAGCAGGAGGGGTAAAAAGTGGAGCAGGAAAAAGAAAGGCCTTTGGCCCTGCCCTTCAGAAGCCTGTGGCTGGCCAAGCAGCTGGACAAGGGAGCATGTAAACTGCCACTGACTTTTGTCTCCCTAACTTTCTTGGTTGGGTCTGGGACAGGAGATACACTGCTCCTGGGGTTTCAAGCAGCAACTGAAAACGGCTTGCTGGGTGAAATGGAGGCGCTCGGCTGGCAGGGCATACCACCAGGGAGGCAGAGTGAACTGCATTCTTTCCACTTTATTCAGCTGTGCAGAGTCTGCAGTGGGCGTGGCCGCCATACTTCACAAGTTTCTATTGTTCTCTATCAATCCTATCTCCAGGCTTCCCCTTTTACCAGGCTTATAGCCTCTGGAACATTCCTTCCAGAGCGGGCTCTCTCTCTCTCTCTCTCCTCTCTCTCTCCCCCCCTTCCCCCCCCCCTCCGCAACTCCAGCTTTATCACTAAAACTAACTGCATTGAATGGCCTGCTAGCCAGTTTCCAGTCAGCTATGGGGTAGAGTTGGAAATGCCTGGTTCTCTTAAAGGGCCCATGTCAGGATAAGCTTGGCAATATATTGGTCTTTAATAGAATTTGGAGGAACTCTGCATTTAGACATGTTACTTGTAGATAATAATCAGGTATGAAAGATGTTAGAGGAAAAGCCATCTTCTAAAGTTCCCCTGCTGGTACAGATGACAATAAATTGGACAAATTTTTTTCCACTGTGGTTTTTACTGTTATTGCAGAGCAGAAGTGTGTCTAATTTTCTACTTCTTGTAAAAGTGATTCCCTTATAAACAGACTATTTATCAGAACAAGTTCCAGACCAGCATTACAATGCAGTCACCAGTTACAAAACCAGTCATTATAAAACCCACTCTCAGCTTTCTCACTCACATAGATGGCAGAATGCTTGCCTAGAGGAAGTGGCAAATTTAGATGAGCAACTCCATTGTAGAAATAGTGAAGTTAACTTCACCCTAAACTTAAGCCACAAAAGTACAGAGAAAGAAAAGGATACCTTGCAGCTATCAACATCAAGATCTTTGTTTCTCTAATACAATTTTTGCATCTGATTTACCAGATAGTCTTAGAAACAACATTTTCAATAGTGAAATATAAGTAATGGCATAAATCATAGGAAAATGTTGTCACTTAATTTTAATGACCATAAAAAATCATCATGCTTAACTGGTTACATCAATATCAGATCCCAGTGACTTTATTCAGACTCTAATGATTTGGTGGATTCAAGTCCCAACTTTTAAAGGTTTGCAGAGAATTCAAATGAATGGACTGTGGACTGGCTATCACAGAGCTTATACACCTCTGGGACCACCATTTCTTGAAAGGTAGTTGACAGTGTTCGTTTAGAACCTGTGTCTGGTCCCTAAGTTTAGCAGAGGGATTTCAACCTTGACCATGTCAACCCTTGGAACCAGATAATTTTTGGTAGGAGGAAGTTATCCTGTCCGTTTTAAGATGTTTATCAGCATACCTCAGTTCTACCCACTAGATGCCAGTAGCATGCCAATCAAACATGTCTCCAGACATTGCAGACAGCCCCCTGGAAGCCAGAATGTCCCCAGTGATAACCCATCTAGTAGAACAAAGAGCCTGGTTAGGATGTCTCTCTGGGAATGTATTAATGGCACACTGTGGGGCCTCAGAGTTAACTTCCCTCCCGTTCTGTTACCACCTTCATCTACCTAGAGAGCCTGTCCCCAACAAGCACATCCACTTTCCTGTTACTGTCCTCACTTGGCGTCTTTAACATGCCTGTTAGTATGTTATGGTTGTAGATGTTAAATTAACCTTGGCACTCACTGTCCCACTCTAGGAAGAGATCATAACTGCAAGACTAGCAGCATCTCTCTCCTCCTCCCTCCCTTTATATTTGTGTTTTACTGAAATACAACATACAAACATAGGAGAGGTACACTCATGGTAAGCCACATGTAAACACATTATTTCATGAGCTATTGGTTCACAGGGATCCATATCATTTGTATAGATAGCAATCTGAAGCAGGAAGTTATAAGCCAGAGCTAATCAAGTGAGGATAAGGAGAAATAGCCACACACAAAAAAAGCAATTTAAGGTGTAGCATACGTCTGGAGATTCGGCAGCCTGGACTCTGAAACTTGCACTGAGGTAGACCATCTAGAATTGCAAATCGGGACATTCTCTTTAAATCCCGTTCACCGTTCAGCAGAGCTCAAAAGAAAATAAAGTGAAATGTATTTCATCAATCCATGGTGTCAGAAGTCAGACCAATGATTCTTTATGACAGGGAGTAAACAACTTGTGGCAGAGTTGTTTTCCTTTAGCAGAGAATGGTATCTTGTCATTTTTGTGGCTGGGACCATCTTTTCTGCCTTGTTCTGACCACCAAGATGGAGTGGATTCATCCTGCCATTGTTTTATCCTGCTTGCCTTGTCTCTTTCAGATGGAAAATCTTGGCCCAGCTGCAGCTGCCACTGAGCAGTCATTTAGATTGTCAAGTAATTAATTAAGGTTAAAGCTCTCAGGAGGTAAGCTAGTTGTCAGATTAAACACAACTGAGCAGAGAATTAGCAAAGTGGGAAAAGGGTCTGAGGAAATTAGAATAAAGCACAAAGACATACAGAGATGTAAACTATAAGACGAGGTAAGAGACATTTAGGGGCCGGCCAGGCAGATAGCCTGGCCAGCAAGAGAACTTGTTGCTCTGACAGAGGACCCAGGTTCCATTGCCACGTCCCACATGGAGGCTAACAGTGTAACTCCAGTTCCAGGGGATCTGATGCCCTCTTCTGGCCTCCGTGGGCATTGCATGCATGTGGTGTACTTACATACATGTAGGCAAAGCATTCATACACATAAATTAAAAATAAACAAATCTTTTAAAAAGAGATCTGTTTAGAGAATAGAGTAACAAGGCCCAACATAAATCTAGTAGACAGTCATGAATTAGAGCCTGGAGAGGGAGAGGAGGGGGGCAACATTTAAAGTGACAGTGGCTGAGAATGGTTCAGAATTCAGAATGATAGACGATGTCACTGTTCACCTTCAGGAGGTTCACTGAAGATGCGCCAAGATAAATAAAACTGTGTCCTGAGACACATAATCATGTACTGGTGTAAAACATGGAGGACAGTCACAACAAATGAAAGCACTATTATATGAAACCAGACAAAAGAAAACCGCATTATTTTATAAACACTGACTATATAAATATAAGACAATAATGATGAATAATGGGACTCTAAATACCATTCATAATAATAATTATTGTCTTAGGGACATTTAAGATACTGTAGAATAGCAACAAAAGAATAGAGGGAATGTTTGGTTTAGGCTTCTAAAGACTGATAGGCTCAAAATGAAAACAGGAGTGGAAATGATTCATTTAGCT